AAAAAAATTGACATCAATAAATAAAAAAATTGCGAAAAAAAAAAGAAAATAATATTTTGTTAGGATTATTGGTTCATCGTTCATACCATCTGCTGCTGGTTCCTTAATTATTTTTTTAGTCGAGAGGGATTGAAATTTGAGAGTGTCTTATCACTTATTCAGCAATATGCAGTTACATTTAAATTTCTAATGTTATAGATAATTTTTTCACTTCCACTAATTATGGAATAGATATACTCTACAAATTCATACACATCACGTTTCCTTTTTTTTTTTCAAATTATTGCCTTTAGAATTCTGTATTTCCCAAATGCTTAAAATCTTAATTTTAGAATAGACCGTATTATATATATTTCTTATTTCTAGTTTAATTTCGGAAATGAGAAATACAGGATGGTTTTTAGTAAACGCAGGACATTTTTTTCAATGTTTTTTAAACCGGACTGGAAATTGACCCGGACAAGCTATTGGGGTCACGGTTGGACCGGTTAGACCAGGGTCGAACCGTGTTTTTATTTTTCATTTTATAAAATAGTTTTTATAGTAAATAAAATATATTTTCTTTCACACAAATTAACTCATTACTCATTTCCAATTAAAACGTAAATCAAACTTATTTTTCTTTTTACGCACAGCATATCAACAATGAATCATTTGAAATATTATAGAGATTATAATGAAAAATAACCTATGCTGCACGGACACTTCTAGAAGGTGAAGAGTCCCCGTATTCGACACCTGGACACTCGGACACACCTGGACACTCGGACACACCTGGACACTTTTCGGACACCCGTGTCGGGCCGTGTCGTAATTTCGCTAAAAGTAGGACACCCGTGTCGGGCAGTGTCCACAATTTTAAAAAAGTTGGGACACTTCTCTTACGTTTTAAGAGAGAACCCTAATAAAAAAAATGCACATTTTATTTTCTCTCTAATACACATTTCCTCTGTTTTCTTTGTGAGTCCACCCAAAACTCCAAAAGTCTAGCATGCGACAGCGACCAAGAACACGAGCAACAAGGGCGAGTTGTTCTCTTATGCGATTACGACTTGTACATATTTTGTACAATTTATAAATGTACCCCTATATTTTTATTATTTATAAATATACCCCTATATTTTTTTTATTTACCCGTATCCCCGCGTGTCCATATCCTAGTTTTTTTAAAATGCCGTATCGCCGTGTCCGTATCCGCGTATCGCCGTGTCCACGTATCCGTGTCCGTGTAGCATAGAAAATAACATTTCTTCCAATTTCAATTTTTTTTTAATTTTGATTTAATTTATTTTTCAACTTGACAATAAAAAGATGTGTTTCTGCCATTTTATTTTGTTTATTTTTTTTAAAAAAACACTATTTTGTGGAAAAGAAACCCCGATTTTCACTATAATTCCGATATTACGGTTCAACCGGTCAAACCGGACCGAACAAGGCAATGGTTCGCGGTTCAACCGGTCAAACCGGAGCGGACAAGGCAATGGTTCGCGGTTTAACCGGTTCAACCGGCCGGTCCGGTCCGGGTTTCAAAACACTGATTTTTTTAGTTCAAATTAATTAATAAATAAGTAAAATATATCAAAAAACCACAATAAAAATGTGTTTATTTACTTTATGTGAAAATTGAACATATAAATTAATTTGAAATTTTCATCTAATGAATTTCAAGTGTGGCCAGTTTATATTTTTTATAATATAATTTATTAAATATTTCATTATAAGTTTTAGTTATTAGATTTATTTAATTAAAATAAAACGCTGCGATAAATTTATACCCTTAAATAATAAATTTTAAGATGCAAAATAAAATTTAAATGGTAAATATCATTTTAAATGATTTCGAATAAGTAATGATAAAAATATTGAGTAAAAAAATATTTTCACTCTTATTTATTTATTATGATACTTTATATTTTATACACCTTCTGAATAAATATCAGTTACACGAAAAATATTATTAAATAGTTCGATACGAGTAAACATAAAACCAAAACGAGCAAATATTAAATAAAAATGAGTATATAAATGATAAATACTAGACTATGTTTTATTAGGGCTGTGCGTTGGTTGGTTTGGTTAAAAACCAGGCATAAAACAAACCCAACCCATCCAACCAACTTTGGCAAATATTAGAAACCGTTATCGACCCAATTTACATGGGTTGGGTGATGGTTGAAAACCAATTTAATGGGTTGGGTTGATGGGTCATCCATCTAAATATTTTTTTAATTTTTTTTTAATATTTTATTACTTGTTACAACGCTATATCTTTTATAAATTAAATGCGACTAGTTTAACTATATTCAAATAAAAGATTCAATGGGCATATATATTGCAATAAAACATAAATAGTTCAACAAATAATAATCGTCCAAATATTTAGACTGTATATCTTAAAATTAAAATAGTTCAAATTAGATAATTAGGTTAGATTTATTGCTTTTAGGATTTTGGTCAATATTAACCAATTTAATAAATGTGATATAAAATAGAAATTTGAAATTAAAACTATTAAGTATTTTAATTAAAATTAATAAATAATAAATTAATGAATAAAGTTGGTTGGCCGATATTAACCGACTAACCAACTTTTTAGTATATTAGAAACCATTATCGACCCAATTATACATGGGTTGGTTGACATTATCGACCCAACTTAAATGGGTTGCTTGATGGTTGATTAACCATCACAAATTGTGGGTCGAAAATGGGTTGGTTGATGGTTAAAACCGATCCATGCACAACCCTATGTTTTATTATAGAATTGATAAGACTGAAGAAAAGGATATAGTCGGTATAACATATAATTTAGGGGGGGGCAATTGAAGAATTTAATAATAGAGGGGAGGTAAGTGAATGTTTCTATTTAGTACAAGGGAGCTAGGTAAGTGAAACTAACCCTTCTCTACTCGGTAACTGATTATTCTTAATTGCAATCAATTAATATTCACATTATTTGTTGCAATTAGCTTATTATAGTGCACTCCACCATCTTCTTTAATATCTCATCTTCTTCTTCACACAACTGTTTTTTTTTTTTTTTTTTCCGATCATGTGCGTACTTGCTTATGTTCGTTACAATTTCAGTTAATGAATTATTTGCAGTGAACTTCAACAATGGAGTATTCATTTTCGACCGGAAAAATATTTGAGTTGAAATAGATGGGCGAGACGGCTAAATGGAGTCACGTATTTAAAGTTTCATTGGATGGCGGGGAGTGGACGGATGTTGTACGGAGTCGGGCCAATGTGCAAACCTTGATGGAAATTCCAAATGGTAAGAGACGATGTAATTAGTTTTCGTTTTTATTTTTTATTTTATTTTTCAAGTACTGTTTAATTTGAGTTATGCAACTATTTTGTGTTTTTGCTTTATTTTATTTGATTATAGTATTTTTTTTTTAGACTTTATATCAATGGATATTTCATGAGTTAATATTTTGTCGGTATGTATGTTTTGATGTAACTATATTTTTTGTTTTACTAGATGAGTTGATTTCATCCTGAAGGATTTCATGTAAGTTTTATTTGAATTGAAAGATTCAAAATAACTTCAACTGAAATAACTTGAAATCCCCTACAATTGCGTGCAATTTAACAAAAAATGAGAGATAAATATTTGAAATATATTGTCAAATAACTCAATCAAAACAAGTCAATGGCTTTGAACTTTATCATCAAATCCTTCCAACCAGATACACCCTTATAATTTTTAGTGTGAGTTCTCAAAAAGGAATCATTAAGAGAAGTGGGTTAATATCGAGTTATTTGCACAGACCCCTTGTGTAATCTCTAATAGCTAAGAGCCCCTATATTAAAAATGTTAGCAATTAACCCCTTATATTGCATTTAATTTAGTTCATTGCCCCTAGTGGAAATAAATATGTTGAATAAAGGGAAGTGACTATACTACCCTCATTAAAATACAACATAAAAACAAAAAAAAATAACAAAAAATAACAAAAAAAAAACCTAAAAAAGAAAAAGAAAAATTAGTAATAAAAATAAGCAGTCATCTACAACCCAACACCATTCTTCCCATCTCCACCGCCATATAGATCTCTCCTCCACTCCGCCATGGTCATTTTCGTATCGTACACCAGACTCACGATGAAGGCACCGAAGGCGGAGAAGCAGTGGCCACGAAAGATTATAAGGCTATAATGGTGGGCTACTATCGGGAGACGCTAGAGAAAACGCCAAAAAATGCAAAAAAATAGTTTTCAGCTTTTTGGATTTTTTTTCTCTGAAAAGCTCTGTTTTCGATCTGGCAGATATTTTTCTTGGATTTTCACAGGATGTTGATGGGTTTTGTAGAAGGATAATGAGCTTGAATCTTAGCTTCAAACCGAACAGAATTTCGTCGGAGAAAATGTTGGAGTGGTGGGGGCGAAGCGGAGGCTGTGGATATGGAGGGAGGTGAGGTGATATAGAGGAAGGAGAGGCCAGAGAGAGTGTTGGCCGAAAGGAGAGTGGCGGTCAGCTATGTTATTTTTTTGGAAAATTGCAAATCAGTCCCTTACTTACGGAAGAATAGGGCTTTTGTGAAACTTCAAGGGACTGAATTGAAACAATTGAAAATTTTATTTGGGGCTTATTTCTGAAATTTATAATGTAAAGAATATTTGGGTCTTTGCACGTGAAAAAATCGAACCCCAATCGCACATTTGGTGAGTTTATCACACGACCAGCTCGTAGGGACCTTAATGCCGTTGACTATGTAACACATGGGGTATGTGCTAATTGTTTTAGCACATGGGCTTTTTCAGCCATTAGACATTACACAAGGTGCCGGATGCCAAAACCTCGGTTAATATCATCAATAAAAGTGAATATTTTCAAAATATATTTTGGTGATCATGCTGAAACACTTCTTGGATAATGTTGGTACTGATTTGCAGTAATCATTGTTAAGATAATTGTAAAATGAAAAAGCAAAATGCTTAGTTACATTCCATAACTAGTTCAATAGATCAGTGCAACTAACATTCTATATATGATTATTGCGCAACAGCTTCGACGGAGATTTCAATATCTAGAAGACAACGTTTATTTGCAGTAAAGCCCTTCGTTGGATCATTAAAACTAGCAAACTCGATGAATGAAAGCCATCCCGAATTATTGACAGAAGCTGAAAACCACTGAGTATCTGCAAGATGAAAACGCAGTACGTTCATTATGAGAAAGATTCAAACAACTTGAATAGATTAAATATTTATTGAATAAATGACCAAATGAAAAGGCTTAATTGCAAATATCACCCTTGTTATCTCTAATTGTCAAATACCCCTTGTCAAAAAAAAATTCATCAACACCCCATGTGTTAACAAAATCAGGGCATCAAGACCCCTGGAGGCAAATCATGGTGCGAGACGCCGGCGGTGGCCGGGGGACCGGAACGAGGAAGAAGTCGTGATAACTCTTATTTTCACTCTTTTTTTTCAATTAGTTTGCAATTTTAGAAATTACAATTTGGTCCTCTAAACGTAGGTTATTCATAATTTATGACATTTCACTGTAAAAATACCATAAAAATCGCACAACGCGCGAGTGAGTGACACGATTAGATTTTTATATCAAATTGTAAATAAAATTACGGAGGGCCTTACATAGAGCAATAGAAATCGGTCATAAACCAAAAGAAACAATTCAAGTGAAAACACGTGCTAAAATAAATGTTTGATGTTTGAAGAGTTGATATTTTCCCAATTTGTAACAGGATTCAAATTGACGAGGAAAATAACAAAAAAAAAAAAAAAAAAAAACTTACCAGTTCGTTGAACGTGTTCATTAGAAACCGGGTTTTTGATCCATATGGTGTAACATGCCTTGACAGTTTCGGAACCAACATAGTGCAGATAGATGGAAACACTGCGGCCCGTTGCTTCTCCATTTCCTTTCGGATAAAGAGTGACTTTCCTAAATTTAACAACAAAAATTTATTTAAACAAACAATCTTATGTATATCGTTTGTGTGTATATATGTATATCAGTATATGTATATGTCTGCTAAAAGTACCCTGTGTAATCTCTAAATAGCAAAAATCCCCTGTGATAAATAAACTAGCAAAAACCCCCTATGAAATTTAGTCAAAGGCAAAACACCCGTTTGACTTTCGTGTAGCTCACTCGCGGGATGTACGCTGGTAATTGGTTTTTAGACGTGAAATGACAAAATTGACCCTCAAAATGTATTTATATGTATATATATATTTTCTTTTTAATTTGATTGTTTAGAAATTAAAATATTGTTAAAAAATTAATAAAAAATTAAATTGAAAAATTATTACAAATTTGGTAATCAAATTAAGTATAGATTTTTAAAATACATAATAATAGAATTTAAGTTTTTTTTTTATGTAAGGATAATTTAAAATATATAAAAAAATTATGTGGTAATAAAAATAGTAGAAAATTAAAAACCCCATTGTAACTTTATAACTAAGATACAAAAATAAAATAATTAGAATATTTATAAAATATAAGAATTTATTAATTGCAAAATCTCGTGGTATTTGTGTCTTTTTATATCAAATTAACAATCAAATGAATAATGGGCCAGTGTGCTATTTAAATAATTTCACAAGGGGTTTTTGCTAGTTTATTGAACACAAAAAGGTTTTGCTATTTAGAGATTACACAGGGGTACTTTTTGCAGTTTACTCATATATAATCTATAAACCCGATTAAATAAAATAATTGTAAAACTAAAAACAGTACCATTTGTAGCCTCCGGCTTCGAATTCTTCAGAACTCCACATGTATATCACTGAAAATACATTATTATAAATCACCCATTCATGCTTGTAAGGAATATCGACATTCTTAAGAGACAAACACTCAATGGCTGCATGAGTAGTGTTGAGGACGCAAACCTCAGCACCAAATACACAGTTATCGTTTACTAGGTATCCTTTTGAAGGATCACACAGAATTTTCTTCGAGATAAATTTTGAAAACCCCCATTCCGACTTCAACGCATGGAAACGTCTTGTTATTCCTATCCAAATTAAATGATTGGCAAAAAATTATATATATTTTCTATTCGAAAAGAGGGCTATTTCAAATTCTCACCATATATATATATATATATATATATATATATATATATAAAAGAATAAATAATACCTAGTGAAGAAAGATAAATGTTGGAAATCTGATTGAAGAGAAAGATGCTAAAGACAACATTGACCTCCTTGCTTACGCGCAGTGCACCTTTGTCCGCCGTAGCCAAGTATACTGATATATAGTCTCCGTTAGGGTAGATTATCAGCCTCCTATATATATACGCATGTTCGACAATCATCCCGTTACATTTGTTTATTTATTAACTAATTAATATATGGAAGATAACAAACTAACTAACTAATTCTTTAATTTCAATATATTTATTCAATAATGCATTTGAGAATATACATACCACTTGTATTCGCCAACATCAAATTCTTTTGTCTCGTATTTGTCAATCCCACACTTTTGAAGTAAGGAGAAGGATTCAATCTTGATCAAAAAATGTGCAGGCGACGCCTCTCTCATTTCCATTGTGGCGACATCTGACACATTAAGCAATATATACATTCAAATAAATCCGCCATACACACACACACACACATATATATATATATATATATATATATATATATATATATATATATGAAAAAAAAAACAGATGTAGTTTTGTGTATACCATTCGCTACTGGTGTTACAGACATCGTTATTCGCTTCTACGATCAAACTATGTGTCCTACAATTTGGAGGAATTGACGTTCTGTTGATTTTTATAGCATGATTCCATGACCTTTGGTCTAATTGCAATTGATAATTAATTTAGTATACAAATAGTCGATTTAATTTATTTAATATGTTCTTCTCAATATTATTACTGATATATGTTCCAACTTCCAATAATTAATGAATTTAATGATGAGAGTCCAGGATTTGAAGAGTCTAAGCCGTCAACTTTCTGAACCTCCAGCAATGATCTCTTCGTATCTGATATCCGATCCCTGCACCTTAAATAAAGGTAGAATCTTGATAAATTAATACCCGATAAATTAATAACCTCGCTTAAATAATAAAAAATTAAGGTCCCGACTCGGGGACAACATGCTAAATTAATAATTCGCTATATTTATAAGATAATAAATATTTGAAAATTTTAAGAAGTCCCATATAAGTTTAGCCAAACACCCTCTTAATCCAATATAATTTAATTGTCGTTTAATTTCTTGTTGAAGTTCACATTATTACCATCAATCCCATCCCTCACTTTTCTTAACATGGTTAGAACTTTCGATATAGTTTTTTCATAACTCAACATAAAATCATTCTATACCATTGCTCCTTTAAGAGCTTCCATCTGTGAAACGGGCTCTATGATACATTAAACTAATGGTACGATGAATAATATACACGTAACAAAATTAAAATAAATGTATTTATTGAAAATAATAATAAAAGTAATTTCATAAACTAATAAGTTACTCCCTCTGTCCCATATTATATGTCTTTCTAGAGAGTTTTTTTTGTCCCAAATTATTTGTCATTTTAGATTTTCAATGCATCATTAATTGCATTATTTTCAATTTTACCCTTTATCACTCCTAATTAGTTAGTTGTAAAATAATTAATGTCAATAATATATTAGTATTTTCCTATGCTTTTCACTATAATCTATACACATTTATTGATTTTCTTAATATGTGTGCAACAACCCAAAACGTCATTTAAATTGGGACGGAGGGAGTATTAATTAATGTATACATTAATAATTATTAATTTATCGATAAGTTAATATTTTGCTAAATTAATGAAATTCTGATGGTCTCAACTGTATTAATTTATAGACGCACCATAATACGGTGCTCGGGATACCATTTCAAAAGTGCGAAAAAATATTTTTTTTAAATATATGACAATAATAATTATGATAAAAAATTATTACATTATTATATTATAATTTATTAGGGATATTTAAATTACAGTAAATATCAACACTCTTACAAATCTAACAATACATATCCACTTGTCAAAAGCTCCTAGAAATTAAGAGCGGTTGGGGGAGAAAAAGAGAGCCTTAAGTGACGAAATTACCCTTCGAAATTTACCCTCACTCGTTCATTTTACATAAATATTTTGTCAAATATCACTTCTGTCCATTCTAGAATATTGTGGTAAATTATTTCTCAGTTAGAGTTCCATCACACAAAGAACAAACTCATCGATCAAATATGAATAACTTGATGCCAATATACCAAATCATTGAAACTAAAATAACTAGTTGGAGCCAAAACAAAAATCATATAACTAACTCTTTACAGAAAAACGAAATCCATGTTTAAGTAAAGATCGAACAATTATGCACTTTAAATAGATGCCGGAGATCCTTTCGCAACGGCTTGGACCGAAAGTTCGATACTTACAAGGCAGGAGTCTTTCACAATGAATCCATTTTTTGGATCATTAATAGTAGCAATCGCAGTAAACGAACGCCATCCGAAAGCAGGGGTGGTAGCTGTAAACCAGTTAGTAGCTGCAACACAAAATAATGTTTATTAGATCCATTTTCTTTTTCTTTCTTTTTATCAGAAATATTTTTAATTTGTTCCAATGAAAAAAAAAATTTCTACAAGCCTTTGCTTTTGTAACAACTCACAAGTTCTACATCTGTGTTGATCCGAAACTTGGTTTTTGATCCGTATCGTAAAACGTGCCTTGACACGTTCGGAGATTTCGGGAGTAACTGTTGGAACCACGGCTGCAATTTGACGATTGATCACGAAACTTGTGGATGAGGCTTGGACTCCTTTCGTTCTCCAATTTTATAGGTAACAAGTTGCTGCAATAAAAACCACGATAATATGGAGATAGGCAAGGTGAGGCGCGGACTAGGTCGCTCTCTTAAGACGAATTTCACGACCCCTTCTCTAATGAGGTGCAAAAAGGTTCCGATCGTGTCGCCTATGGGATACAACAGCCCAGCCTATCTCTCCGCTGTAACTTCACCGAAATTGCACGTTCAAGTGAAGCAGAAGCTTACACCCGACACACAACAAAAGCTCAAAGTATATGTATCTAATATATTAGAAAAATATTTCTTTTCATCTTCTCTTGTACTCTCTACTCTCCTTTTACAATGCTACAAAAGTCCCCTTTATATAGTATAAAAACTTGACCACCATAAAGCCTCTCATCAATAGAGAATTAAATAAATTTATGGGAGTTTATGTAAGAAAATAAAAGTTTTGGAGGTTTCAAAATAGTGGTCTAAATGACCTCATAAAATTGGTCAAACCATTATTATAAAATATATTATTTTTATTAAAAAATCCAACAATCCCCCACTATTTTAATAAAAATAAGAATAATAATAATATTTGAGCTCTTGCGGAATATTATGCATAATGAAAGTGGACAATGCCTTCAAACCTTCACTTAGTACAATATGTTTCCCGTACTAGAATCAAAGTGGACTTAGCCTTCAAACAGTGACCCTTGGGGCACGTAGAATCATATTGCACACATAATACTCAAAGTGTCCCGATCGAAGCTTCTAAAGCCAGCACGTTAACGGCCATGTGTTTTACCCCATTTCTCGTGAGAGCTCTAGAGAACAGCCTATAATTCTCATAGGAAGCGGCCCCACTTCCACACTCACAAGGTGAATTCTATCAAGGATGTTTACGTAACTCCAACACCCCACCCATTCGGGCTATAGAACTCATTAAGAGATCAAAGTCTCAACCTCACAATTCGTTACGAGCTTTATTAGTGCACACGCACCATAGGGATGGATAATAAAAGTGTGCACTTTTATCACTATCAAGTTGCTTTCAGATTCGTTTTTCTTCGCCTAGTTCGTAGGATCTCTAGCCCCTAGGCGGTAGTATCCTCATCAACAACTTTAAAAAATATATTAGGCTTTCACCCAATCCCCCTCGATGCATTTCAAATGATTTCTGAAATAATGTGAAATATAATTTCACAATTTTAATAGCGCTTATTCGACATTTAGTCTCATGGACTCAATGGTTTATTAACCATTTCTCATATAATTTCACATATAATTTCACTTAAATTTTCGCGTGAATTTTTCACATAGATTCACAGTACTGTATTTTCTTTTAATGGTTCCGGTTCCCATTAAAAGATTATCGCATTTGCCAACTGCAGTTTTTCAGTCTCATTTATCAAAGCACAAAGCATTTGATTTTTCTCAATCATATTTATCAAAGCACAAAGCATTTGATTTGTTCTCAATCATATTTATCAAAGCACAAAGCATTGATCTATCCCACATTAGGATTTTATATACCACATTCGGTATCAACCGGCCTCTTCACAGGCTAATGTCAAAACAATCAATCAAAATTGATATGAATTTTGACTTATAAATTATTGATATAGCTCATTCACACAAGGAAAACATGTAATCAAGTAGGAATATAATTCCTCTTATTTAGATGTTCAATAACCAACAATATTGAAAACTTTCAAAAAAAAAAAAAAAAGTTTTACTTCACACATCACAAATCACAAATTTATTTTCGCAAATCAATTTCCACTTTTAGGCCTTTCTAAATAACATCTACGTCACATATATGCAAAATTAGGCCTTTGCTAATTGCTTGCATATTCAAGATTGCAAAAAAAGCAAAATGTATCACAATATGACTATGAACAATTTTCGATCATAGAATGAGCAGTTAAGCATAGACCACGCTAAAATAAATTAAAACATGCTCATATAAGTAGACACTAAAATCCCCACTATTTCTCAATGTTTAAACAATACATAAAATGTTTAATCATATGAACATGCTCTCTAAGACCCCCACTACATCAAATATTCAAACACATCCATCATGAATTAAATTCAATATATAATATGTCATGCTCATTTTCACAATTAGAAAAAAAAAACTATAATACCCCCACTAATTCTCCATTTGAAGAAATTATGTATTTAAAAATAAATAGTTTATAATAATTCACCTTAATATTCCACAACAGTAAGATAGTCTCAAACTTAAAAAAATCAATACTTCATAAATATCAAAAAATCAATTTTAGCAATGCTCAAATTATGCTTCATTTTCTTAGGCAAATTATAATGTTGCAAGTAAAGTCAAATTCACATATTTAATAACAACAGTGCATGATACAGTCATATATGCCATCAGATCACAAATTTATATAAATTGATTTAACACACAATGGTTAGGACATGCACAACATTTCTGTAGCAGAAAATGTGAGATTTTTAATCATTAATGGTTAAATTTCAAGATATATTATATAATAATTAATCAACGCCAAATAAAACCGTTTCTATATGAACGTTTCACTCTGTATCTGACCAATTTTCAAGAACAAATTATCACGCCATCACTTTCAATATGAATAGCACTTAATCCACATACGGTAAAATATTAAAAATCAAGAGGCACATGCAATTAAGTACACCATAATGAAATTATTAATAATGAATTAATGGTACACTAACTATTCAAATGTAACGATCCGTCTTGTTTTTTTTTTTTTTTTTAATAATATGAATTCTAAATGCCAATTACACATGCACACATTCAGGAAAGTTTTGCAACTCAATATATAATTGTAACAATTAGCCTTGATAAGCCAAGGTGTAACAGCTTTATACATACAATAATGCAATTAGTTTCATTTTGCAAATGGTCTGCTTTCATATAATTCTTTTCACAACTTCCATGCATGTATTTTTGCCACACAAATAAATTTATATAACTAACCACATAAAATAACATGCTCAATGAAATATCATTTTTTATGCAATTATTCTTCACACAACTATTACAAATTTATTATTGTATTGCAAGACATCATATTTAATTTGGAAATGAAGAACGTACCAGATTCGATGAATTTCTATTACGAATTCTTTCGATACCTCAAAAAACGCGAATAATTTGGCAGCTCCAGCAGTGCTCAGTATTTGGGGCATATCTCTCTCGTTCGATGTCCGATTTCAGTGATTCAAAATGTTTCGGACAGCCAACAGAAATGCCTACAGCTTTTGTGTTTTACACATTCTCAAATTCGGATATTAGCAGGTCCGAAACTGACCTCAAAGTATAAATTCGTGAATTGTACATAGATTCACCTACAACAAAAATTAAGATCATTAATTTTATTTCGTCAACACAAGATATTAATAAAATAAAATGAATTATCTCCCTTTTCATCATCAATGGTTCTCTTTTGGATCATCGTCAAAACTCATCTTCACGGGATCAAAAATTCGTCTTAAATTGTTGGAAGGCTGCAATTTGACGATTGATCACGAAACTTGTGGATGAGGCTTGGACTCCTTTCGTTCTCCAATTTTATAGGTAACAAGTTGCTGCAATAAAAACCACGATAATATGGAGATAGGCAAGGTGAGGCGCGGACTAGGTCGCTCTCTTAAGACGAATTTCACGACCCCTTCTCTAATGAGGTGCAAAAAGGTTCCGATCGTGTCGCCTATGGGATACAACAGCCCAGCCTATCTCTCCGCTGTAACTTCACCGAAATTGCACGTTCAAGTGAAGCAGAAGCTTACACCCGACACACAACAAAAGCTCAAAGTATATGTATCTAATATATTAGAAAAATATTTCTTTTCATCTTCTCTTGTACTCTCTACTCTCCTTTTACAATGCTACAAAAGTCCCCTTTATATAGTATAAAAACTTGACCACCATAAAGCCTCTCATCAATAGAGAATTAAATAAATTTATGGGAGTTTATGTAAGAAAATAAAAGTTTTGGAGGTTTCAAAATAGTGGTCTAAATGACCTCATAAAATTGGTCAAACCATTATTATAAAATATATTATTTTTATTAAAAAATCCAACAGTAACATTGGACAAATAAACAGAGACATCACGGCCAGTTTCTTGTGCATCTCCTTTCGGGTAAACCCAAATTCTCCTATATTTATCAACAACACTAGTGTCAGATTATCTGTTCCGCCACCATAGGGCCAAGAGGGGTCATTCCCCCCTCAACATTTCTTAAATCCCTATTATTTCACTTACATACGTAAAAAAATCTTTATAGACTAGCATTATTGGCCTTCCCTCGGAATTGTTTTTAATGCATTCAGCCCCAACAGACTTAAAATCCTAGCTCCCGTGAGTCACAGTGCAAGAATAGTTAAAATATTGGGACCAAAGGCCTTAACTGACGAATTAAGGGTAAATTGACGGAAGGGGCCAAATGCGTTTTTTTTTTTAACATGGAGGACCAAATGTGAAATCAGTGCAAATTTAAGGGATGAAAACTATAATTTTCCATTAAAATATTATTTACCATTTGTGGCCTCCAACGCTGAATTCTTGTGACTTCCAAATGTGCTCAACTTGGGAGAAATTTGAAATCATAAATTCTTGCTTGTAAGGAATATTGACATTGTTCAGAGACAGGCATTCAGTGACCGCTTCACTTTTGACCACAAAAACCTCAGCACCAAAAACGCAGTTGTCTTTGACTAGGTATCCGTTTGATGGATTAGACATAATCTCCTTCGAGATAAATTTTGAAAATCCCCATTCGGACTTCATTGTTTGGAAACGTCTTGTTATTCCTGTCCACAATTTATTCATATAAAATTAATCTGAGCAATTCAACTAAACGATTAACAAATTGTATGGAATAAACAATAGTACCTGAAAAAAGATAGTTGCCCGAATTCTGATTAAAGATAAAGATATTGAAAACAACATTGACCTCCCAGTTTCTTGGCAACGAAATTGTGTCCGCCATAGCCAAATTTACCGAAACATAGTCGCCATCTTCTCCGACAGTGTCGTCTCCGTTAGGATAGATTATGAGCTTCCTGCACGCACAATTTCACGCATAACAATATGCAATTCTATCGATATCGCTTCAATTAAATGAAAAACAAAAAGAAATAGAATCCAAGAAACCCTAATAAGTAGAGAATATTACTACACACCACTTATATTCCCCTCCGGCATTAAATTCTTTGGTCTCGTATTTATCAATGCCACACTTTGCAAGCAAAGAGACCGATTCAATTTTTATCAAGAAATGGGCAGGTGATGCCTCTCTTGTTTGCATTCTGCTGCTGAATTCTGGTCACAACATCAACAAATTCATTAAAGTTCAGCATATATATATATATATATATATATATATATATATATATATATATATATATATATATATATATATATATATATATATACACATATATATATGTTTTAAAATTTGTCATACCATCTACTGCTGGCACGACAGAAACCATGGTCGTATGGATGCAGAGTTGTTGTAGAGTATGGAGTAGGGTTCTGATGTTATATAATGCTTTGTTAACTGCCGATAATTATGTAATTAATTGATATTCTTGTTAGGGTTCCATTTACATTACGTTTCCTTGTCAAATTCATCTTGTTTCCTAGTTTAACTATATCTCCTTTATTTTACACTAAAAACAAAACAAAAAAAAAAAAAAAAAAAAACATTGATACGGGCCATTCTGGAAAGGCCAAATGAGATTAAGCCCACGATGATAAGCCCATGACGACCTAACCCGGTAGGGCAGAAGAGGTCGTTAGGTCGTACGACCTTAAAGACGAAATGGGATACCTTAGCTCGCAGGCCCAGTATCAATACGAGGTAAAACGAGCCCAGGATAATCAGAGGCCCAAAACGTGTGACTTGAGGGTAGGGAGAAACCCTAAAAAAGGAAAGCTTGGAGGCCAAGGTTTCCTCATCTATAAATAAGGAATGATATTGCATTTTTTCCACACATGCTTTTACGTACTTTGCATAAACCTACTCCAAAATTATTATACTAACTTGATCGTCGGAGCTTTCCCGCCGGGAACCCCTCCCGGCGTTGCAGGTCTTTTCACCGGAATCAAGGTCGGGACCCAAGGATCACGAGAAGAAGCCCTACGGACTAAATCAAGTGGCGCCGTCTGTGGGAAAGATCTAGAAGTTTCGGGAAACAGCTTCCGGGAAAAATCAGATCTACCCCCGGAAGTCCAGATCTGAGCTAAGAACGTGGAGAAAAAATGGAAGAAGAAGGCACGATTACCCGAAACCTACAAAAGGACCTGGATGCGGCAGTTCACGACACACCTGGTGTCGATCCGCCATCTGCCTTGAGGGAGAAGTCAGGGTGCAGCCTGCTTACGCCCGAGAAAGAAAGACGAATCCCCCTCTTTTCAAGAAGCCCTTCTTTCGAGTTTCAGAGTGGCGGAGCCGCTTCGAAGAGACCGGCTACAGCACCGGCTCCATCCCCCGATGAGCGTACGTACACCCGGGATGAAGTAGAAGCCATGATCACTACGGCCATCCGGAACTACACGCAAAATTTACCTCAAGATAACCGGCCCAAGAGAGATCTCAGACGCTCCCAGAATGAAGGGCGAGCTGAGGATGAGTGCGATAGCTATTCGGAGAATCGAGGAGGCAACAGTCATGGCGTCAGAACGGAAGTTGACAGCTTAAGGCGCGATATAGATGAGCTGAAGGCCCTGCGAAGTGGGCCAACGCGAGATCTCGCGGGATCTGGCCCTTTCGCCAAACATCTCGATGACGACCCCATACCAGCTAATTACCGACCGATCCCGTTCGAGTATAACGGCACGTCAGATCCAGCCGAGCACTTGAGTCGGTTCAACAACACAACATCGCTCCACCAGCTCACGGAGGGGGTGAAGTGCCGCGCCTTCGTCACCACTTTAGCTGGGCCGGCCCAAGCCTGGTTCGGTTTGTTGCTACCAGGGAGTATACATTCCTTTGGACAGTTTGCTAAGGCCTTCATGAATCAATTCGCTAGCTCGAAGAAGTGCAAAAAGACCTCGCTGTCACTGTTCAGCATCCGCCAGAAAGAGAAAGAAAGTTTGCGGAACTATATCAAACGGTTCACTTCGGCCACGCTGGAGGTCCCCACCACGAGCGACGAGGTGCTTATGGCAGCTCTTTCACAAGGATTAAGGGATGATGAGTTCTTTCGAGCCCTGGCGCTGGAACCCTCACCAGATTTCGACAATTTGTTGGAACGAGCATCCAGATTCATCAATCTTGAAGAAGCTCGACAACAGAAAGTAGAGGAATCTCTCCAGACACTGAATGCGCGAGCCAACGAAACTAGGAAAAGTAAGGAGCCCATGTTGCCCCGAAGAGATGCAATATCCGGCGTCGGCACTGGTCGAGCTACCGCTCTAGATGCAAAGGGATCTCGATATCAATCGTACCAGCCTCTTACGGCCCCTTTGTCCAATGTGTTATGTGCAATCGAAAAGAGGGCTGATTTGCGATGGCCTCGGACCGCTCGAGAAGCACCTCGCCGAGATCCGACACTGGGAACCTTTTGTCGTTTTCATAACGAATACGGACATACGACTGATGATTGCGCGCATCTGAAAGATGAAGTAGAACGTCTCATCAGAGACAATAAGATTGGAGATTTTGTGAAGATAGACCCCCCTCGGGGACAGAAGCGCGAAGCTCAGTTCGGAAATCCGGCGCGAGTTCCGCCCCCGCCGCCAATGCCGAAAAGGGGATTCATTCAGATGATTTCAGGGGGCCCTACGGGGGGAGATACGCACCGGGCTAGGAGACGCCATCTCGGTAGCCTTAAGAACCAACGCGAAGTTTGCCAAATTTCTACATCAAAGTGTCATCAATACCCCACTATTTCATTCGGTCCCGAAGACGAAGAGGGACTGGAAGATTTCCACTGCGATCCTCTCCTCATCACGATTAATGTTGGAGGGTATGACGTCGCCCGCGCTTTTGTCGATCCAGGGAGTTCAGTGGATGTCATATCTTACGAGTGCTTCCTGCAAATGGAACTCGATCTCCCAGTTTTCCCCGTCACCACTCCGATATTCGGGTTCACAGGAGGATCCCTAACACCAATTGGACAGGTTAAAATCCCTGTCACTATAGGAACGCCACCTCGAACCCGCACCCAAGCTGTTAATTTTGTCATCGTGGAAGGATCGCTGACTTCGTATAACATCGTAATAGGATGACCAATGATGCATACCTTTCGGGCGGTCCCTTCGACTATTCATCAAAAGCTCAAGTTCCCAGTCGATGGGATGGTAGGAGAGGTCAGAGGTGATCAAGCCCAGTCGAGATCGTGTTATGTCGAAATGGTTAAGATAGCGGAGAAAGGGCGACGCGATACCCTCACCAAAGAAGATTTGGGAGACGAGAAACGCCCCCGAATTGACCCAGAAGATAAGGTTAATCATGTACAACCTATGGACGAATTGATGACGATCGATCTCGTCCCCGGTATGATGAAACAAACCCGGATAAGCAAGAATTTAGAATCACCTCTCCGAGACGAGCTGATAGCGTTATTACAATCCAATGAAGACATCTTCGCGTGGCAACCAAGTGACTTAACCGGTATCTCACCTCGTACTGTTGTGCACAGGCTCAATTTGCGACCTGAGTGCAGACCCGTCAAACAAAAACGACGGCACTTCGGTACCGAAAAAGACGAAATCATACAAAAGGAAGTTCAGCGACTTCTGGACATCGGACATATCAGGGAAATCCAATTCCCCACATGGCTGTCCAACGCAGTATTAGTACAGAAAGCTAACGGCCAGTGGCGAATGTGCATTGATTTCAGGGACTTAAACAAGGCTTGCCCAAAGGACGATTATCCCTTACCTCGCATAGATCAACTTGTAGATGCCACTGCCGGGTGCGAACTACTTAGTATGATGGATGCTTCGCAAGGATACCATCAGATTCCGCTAGACGAAAAGGATCAGCCAGCAGTGAGTTTTGTCACAGCCACGGGTACTTACTGTTACGTGGTAATGCCTTTCGGTTTGAAAAATGCAGGGGCCACATATCAGCGATTGATGGATAGAATGTTTCGGGCTCAACTCGGACGCAACATCGAAGTCTACGTTGATGATATGCTAGTTAAGAGCAAAAGGCGTTCCACGCACCTCGCGGATCTAGCTGAGACCTTTGCCACCCTTCGTCTATACGGAATGAAATTGAACCCCGCGAAGTGTGCATTTGCAGTACAAGCTGGAAAATTCCTGGGATATGTCGTTAATCGAGAAGGTATTAAAGTGAACCAGGATAAGGTTGAAGCTGTACTCCAGATGACACCCCCTCGCTCCATCAAAGAAGTTCAATCCTTAGCAGGGAAGGTAGTAGCCCTAGCTCGGTTTATATCACGGATGGCTGATAAGAGTCTACCTTTCTTTAAAATATTGAGGAAAACAGCTCAGTTCGAATGGACTATCGAGTGCCAGCTCGCATTCGACGCATTAAAACGATCCCTCACTTGTCTGCCGATTCTTAGCACTCCTGAAAAGGGTGAAACTCTGTTCATATACCTGTCGGTAGGCGACGAATCAATCAGCTCGGTCTTGTTCAAAGAGGTGAATAACCAGCAAAAGCCGATCTACTATACTAGTAAAATCCTTACTACGTCGGAAAGCAAATATTCTGAAGTCGAAAAAATAGCGTATGCACTGGTCCTCACTACGCGACGACTCCGGCCTTACTTCCTATCGCATACCATGGTAATTCGTACAAGTCTACCACTTCGGCAAACCCTAGGCCAACCTACTGCGTCAGGACGAATCGTTCAATGGGCCATCGAATTAGGACAATACGAGATTCAGTATCAACCCCGCACCTCGGTCAAAGGACAGGCACTGGTAGATTTCATCCGGGAGACTACCAGAATACCTATCGAAAAGGAGTGGAAAATTTACGTGGATGGGTCATCTACAGCAACAGGAGCAGGGGCAGGAATAATAGTCATTGATCCCACAGGAACGGAGGTCGAGTTTGCCGTCAGATTACCTCGAGTCTCCAATAATGAAGCAGAATACGAAGCCTTCATCCGAGGTATGGAGATCGCTCAGGAGCTCGGAGCGCGAGTGGTGCAAATATACTCCGACTCACAATTGGTGATACACCAACTAGAAGGGGATTACGAAGTAAAAAATGAGAGAATGAGGGGGTATGTGAATAAAGCTCGAGCAGTACAAGAAACCTTCGAAGCCTGCGCGGTGCATCAACTCCCGAGGAGCGACAACCAACGAGCTGACTTCCTCGCTAAAATTGGGTCGTCAGTCGCTGACTGTGTTGAAAGAAAAATCACCATCCTCATTGCCCCTAGTCCGACACCAGGAATCATGATGATCGATGAAGAGCCTGACTGGAGAACACCTCTATTCAAGTATTGGAGAGGGGAGCGAACTGGCACAAAAAGGGAACAACACCGCTTGGCGTATAAAGCGAGGCACTTTTACGTGCGGCACGAGATATTATATAAAAGGAATTTCGCTACAATAGATGCGAGGTGCTTGGGAAAGCAGGAGGCTAAACAGGTCCTTGACGAAGTTCACCGAGGTGGTTGCGGTGAGCATGGAGGAGCTCGGGCCCTCATACAGAAGTTATATCGGGCAGGGTATTATTGGCCCGGTATGAAAAAAGACACACACCGATACGTTCAACACTGCGCACAATGCCAAAAATATGCCCCACTTATCCATAAACCGGGGGAGGAGATGATTATCATGAGTGCCCCATGTCCCTTTGCTCAATGGGGGATTGACCTGGTAGGACCATTCCCTCAAACCACTGGTCGGAAGAAGTTCATCATTGTTGCGGTAGACTACTTTACTAAGTGGGTCGAAGCTGAGGCCTTATCAAAAATATCAGAGGACGAGGTCATGCACTTCATCTGGAAGAATATCTGTTGTCGTTTTGGTCTGCCTCGAAGCATCGTATCGGATAATGGCACTCAATTCAACGGCAAGAAGATTCGCGCATGGTGCGAAGAAATGAAGATAACACAGAAATTTGTGGCGGTAGCGCACCCCCAGGCCAATGGTCAAGTAGAATCCACAAACCGGACCATTGTCAACGGTTTGAAGAAGAGACTGGACGAGCTAGGGGGCAGCTGGGTAGACGAGCTGCCCTCAGTCCTTTGGTCTTACCGGACAACGGCCAAAGCAGCTACTGGCGAGACACCATTTCGGTTAACCTATGGAACCGAAGCTGTTATCCCGGTCGAGGTGGCAATGGACACACTCCGCATCGCCACATTTGATGAAAAGACAAACGACGATGCCTTGAGGACACAGCTGGATGAGGTTTTTGACCTACGAGAAGCGGCGTATCTACACATGGAACGAAATAAGAACCTGATCAAAGCTCGATACGATCAAGGGGTACGGCCTCGTTCATTCCAGATCGGTGATCTCGTCCTACGACGAGCTGACGCACTAAAACACACAGGAAAGTTAGAGGCCAATTGGGAAGGACCATACATGGTCACAAAATGTTTGGCCGGTGGGGGATACGAGCTGGCAGATGTAGAAGGAAAGCCGTTGCCACGAGCTTGGAACATAATACATCTGAAGCGCTTCTTCGCTTAAAAAAAAAAAAAAAAAAAAAAAAAAAAAAAAGGACAGAGGAAGTTAGTCAGCAAAATCGAGAAATGACATACCTTGTACATACAAAAACCATCAATAAACATCCATTTTCCGATCTGGGCTAGGCCCCGTGGTTTTTTCTCTCCTCATTTGGAGGGTTTCCACGTTAAAAAACCCTTGTGTTATTTACTTAAGTTACAACTGTGGCGTTAAATCGCGTGTTCCATTGTGGCGTTAAATCGCGTGTTTCATTGTGGCGTTAACTCGCGTGTTTCATTGTGGCGTTAAATCGCGTGTTTCATTGTGGCGTTAACTCGCGTGTTTCATTGTGGCGTTAAATCGCGTGTTTCATTGTGGCGTTAAATCGCGTGTTTCATTGTGGCGTTAACTCGCGTGTTTCATTGTGGCGTTAAATCGCGTGTTGTATTGTGGCGTTAAATCGCGTGTTCTATTGTGGCGTTAACTCGCGTGTTTCATTGTGGCGTTAAATCGCGTATTTCATTGTGGCGTTAAATCGCGTGTTTCATTGTGGCGTTAAATCGCGTGTTCTATTGTGGCGTTAACTCGCGTGTTTCATTGTGGCGTTAAATCGCGTATTTCGCGTGTTTCATTGTGGCGTTAAATCGCGTGTTTCATTGTGGCGTTAAATCGCGTGTTTCATTGTGGCGTTAACTCGCGTGTTTCATTGTGGCGTTAAATCGCGTGTTTCATTGTGGCGTTAAATCGCGTGTTCTATTGTGGCGTTAACTCGCGTGTTTCATTGTGGCGTTAAATCGCGTATTTCATTGTGGCGTTAAATCGCGTGTTTCATTGTGGCGTTAAATCGCGTGTTCTATTGTGGCGTTAACTCGCGTGTTTCATTGTGGCGTTAAATCGCGTATTTCATTGTGGCGTTAAATCGCGTGTTTCATTGTGGCGTTAAATCGCGTGTCTTACCGAGGCGAGTTAAATTGGAATGAAAGCAAAATATTGCACTAAAATTAAAGAGGCTTGCCAAAATCAGGGTAAGTCCCGGGTTGATGAAATCATGGGATAATCATCGATACGAATCTAAGAAATCATCGGTTCAATTCGAATACAAGAAAAGTTGCTAAGTCTAAAGAATTACTCTTGAATGCACAAAAATCAAGATATCATAAACTCAAGGTAAGTACGAAAAGCAATACTTGAACAAACGAATTCCCGATACATCGATATAAGGGAAGCGGAGAAAAATTGTTCAAGCACATACAAAAGAGAAAAAAGGAGAATACAAGTACATAGCGAAAAGAAACGAAAAAACTAATGTTTAAAAATACATAGTCAAAATACAAACAAGGAAAAAATGACTAAAGTCTTCGTTGGCTCTCACTTCGGGACTGACGCATCTGCTTCACTCCGATTCCCAGCATCCGGAGGGGAAGGCGAGACGGGGTCTGGCTGCGCGTCAGGTAGGCTGGTCACCGTCTCGTGGGCCTCGACATCTCCGACGAAGTCGGTGATAACCACCGATGAGGCCCCTTCTCGAGAAAAATCTTCAACGAGACCGTGGTAAACCGGTCTCCACCATTCCAGGTTAGGGTCTTCATTGATGTCTCCCTCGAAACCCGGGATCACATCATCCG